TAATAATATTATCATTATTTTATCTTATAATATGCTTAACAATTTTGTTTTGGTAAATTACCCCACACCTTCCAACTTAGTCACGCAAAATATGTCAATAGATATAAATTTAGGAATCTTCTATTATTTATAAGGAAATATGTCAATAATAGTTAAATGCATCCAGAATATATTAACAAAAATCACAGATTATTAATATATAATATTTATATACCTTAACAAAATTTACACGTTATATATATTAGATAAATTTATTTCGATGTAAAATTTTAAAATTGTATTGTTTAAAAAAAAAGAAATTGTTTAGAAAGTTTCTTTTTAATAAACTTATTATAATATTAATTTATGAAGCTATAAGTTTAGTTTTTAGCAAAAAATTCTTCGAAGTTTATATTATCTTTGCAAATTAAATTACACTAATATTTAACCAAGCTCTATTTATATTACTTTATCTAAAAATGAAATACTAATCTAACAAACAATAAAATATAGAAGAAGAAACAAACACATGTTTGAAAGTCATGTATAATATAGAAAATTTGAAACAACCTATTTGATTAAAACACTTATTATATAATATTATTATGTTTGAAAAACATTTACTATACATATCGTAAATATGTGATTACTATAATATATACCAATTTACAAGTGAAAACAAAATGTTTATATAACTAGAAACAAAATGTTTATATAACTATAAACGAAAACAAACACCCGCGCGGTTGCGCGGGTCAAAATCTAGTTGAAGTTAAATAAGATAAGATAGGAGGTGCGCTAAATTAACGAAGGCGGAGGGAAACTTGGATTGCATAGTTTTCACCCTTAGTGACATCATTGTATCATATTTGACCAATGAGATTTAAACTCTTTTTAGTTTCCATCAACTTGATCTTCATGCAGGTGTATCGTATGTCACGTTCATTCTAGTCGTCCTCCACCAATCCTCGTTAGACGCTACCAACTTGCGTTCCCAATGTATCAACGTCACGATCTTGTAGAAGAAGCTGTGTAGGTTCCGTGAACCCTAAATCGGATTCGAAAAGTTACTTGCATTTTGCTCGAAAAGTAGTTGCAGTTTTGACTCTTATTTATAAACTGTACTTCCGACAATTATCTTTCCATTTAAAGGCATGTTTTGTGTTTTAACCATATTGAGAAGATCTAACTTCTGACTTTTCTTATGTACTACACAAATAAAGATAGGTGATCTTCTATGTTAATATTCGAATGCGAAAACATTTGATTTGTCAGCACAATTATTGACTAACTACGTACGAAGTCTGTGATTATTATCTGTCTCTTTTTGTTACAAATACAATCGTATGGAGACGTATATACTAAATCGGGGGGGGGGGGGTGATAAAGAAAAAAAAAATGATATCACGAAATTTTTCATTTGTATGATATTTCTTTTTATAACACTTAAACATGTAGAAATAATCGTAGTGATACAAAGCAAAAAAACAAGAAATTAAATAAGATGTTAATAGACACCGCACAAACATGGAGAAAGTGAGAAAATCTCACCAACTTCCATTATTATCAAGCTTCCAACGTGAGTAAATGCTAAAACCAAGTCGGTGCATCTCGGCGATGTATGATTAAGGTCGACTATTTCGGATGACACTAACAACAATTGCCGATGCAGTTTCATTCGTAGGATATTACAACCAAGAAAATAGCAGACAATATTTGTCACGGGTCCACCAGTGCTAAGAACTCCAGGAATATTGATTAGGGCGGTAATTAACTTAAAATGTAAAAAAATGAGCTTAAAAGTATGTATTTCAGTTTAAACTAATACATTTCATTTTTTCTATATTATTATAAAGTCCCAAAAGTATTCAAAATGTATTTTTTTAAAGAAATTAAAGTCATTTCCGTGACCCAACCTCACAGGCGGCTCGAAACGACATCTTCCTCTGTTCTTTTATTTAATTGAATTTATCATTTAATTTATGTTATGCTTTTCGATCCGCCGCTATCTTGAGCAATAAAAAGTTCGGCGCACAAACTCAGAAGCAAAAAAAAAGACGATAAATATTCATCATCATCATCTCTCTCTCTCTCTCTCTCTCCTCTGTTCACCGTTCTTCTCTTTGCTTCACAATCTCTCTGTTTCTTCTTCAGAACAAACCTTTTTCTTTCATCCTCAAGCTCTTATATCTCCTCCATAGTGACACACCAAAAACCATTAAGAGTGGAGAAAAAAAAAGAATTAAATTTGACGTTGAAGACTCTGTTTCCTCAACTCTGTTCTCCCTAAACGTTACAAAACAGAGCTCCATAAGCTAAGAGACAAGACATTAAAGTTTGTGGCTTTCATGGATTCAAATACTCACAATCATCTCTACGACCCGAATCACATACCCTCTTCCGGGTCGGGTCTACTTCGTTTCCGTTCAGCTCCAAGCTCTGTTCTCGCCGCTTTCGTTGACGACAACAAGAGTGGACTCGAGTCCAACAGGTTGCTTTCCAGATTCGCCAGCTCTAATGGTCCCAACGAATTCGAGGACAAGTCCTCTGTTTCATACGCCGCCACTCTTCCGCCGCCGCAGCCTGAGCCGTCTAGCTTTCTCGGTTTGCCACCGCATTATCCGAGACAGAGTAAAGGGATGATGAATACGATTGGTTTGGATGAGTTTCTTAATAATCATCACACCAAACCTGTTGAATCAAATCTTCTCCGGCAGAGCAGCTCGCCGGCCGGGATGTTCACGAACTTAACCGCTCAGAACGGTACCGTTTTACTCTGTTTCTCTCATAACCGCTTTACTCTGTTTTTTTTACTCTGTTTCTCTCAAAAAATAAATAATTTACCTTTTTTTAAAGTAATATTTTTAATTGAAAATTTGGAATTTTTATCATTACCAAAGCAATAAGAAAAGATCTTGTCTGAATTTCCCGGAAAGTGATGATTATCCTCAACTGGGGTTAGGCGCAAAAACCATAAAATTTGGCATTTTGTGACTCACCAAACTCTCTTTTTCTAACCGCAGGTTATGGTTCAGTGAGGAGTTTGATGAACTACGTTGGTGAAGAAGAAGAAGACCAAGAGAGTCCATCTAGTTCCAATGAGTTAAGACGACACAACAGTCTCTCTTCAAGGCCACCTTCTTCTCTTGGAATGCTCTCTCAGATACCTGAAATCGTCTCTGAAAGTAGTTTTCACTATAGCCATTGGAATGATCCGGCCAGCTTCATTGATAACTTGTCCTCCTCTCTCAAAACAGAAGCAGAGGATGACGCCAAATTGTTTCAGGTATACTCGGTTCTCTACCCGGTTTAATTAATACTACCAAACCGGTTTGTTTTGGTGCTTGGAGAGCATTGAATGATGATGTTTACAATTATATTTATACAGAATGGAGAGTCTGGAAATCGAATGCAGTTATTGTCACATCACTTGAGTCTACCTAACGCATCATCTACAACCTCGGACATGGTAACAGTGGATAAGTATATGCAGCTACAAGACTCCGTTCCTTGTAAGATTAGAGCCAAACGTGGTTGCGCTACACATCCTCGAAGCATTGCTGAACGGGTAATTTCAACAATGCTTCTTACATGAACTAGCTTAGAATCTGTGAAGTCTAATACTTGGAAACAAACTCTTTTGTTACTTGTCAGGTAAGAAGAACAAAGATAAGTGAACGAATGAGGAAACTACAAGAGCTTGTTCCTAATATGGACAAGGTATATTGTAAACAAATTGTTTTCTCTTTGCATTGAACCGGTTTTAATGTTTTTAGTCTTTTTGTTACAACAGCAAACAAACACAGCAGATATGTTGGATTTAGCTGTGGATTACATCAAAGATTTACAAAGACAGTATAAGGTAATCTACTGATCATTTTGAACCCTCCCAAAAAAAAAAAAAATGAAAGACAGGTTTAAATGTAAATCGGTTGAATTGATTTTGAACTTTTCTGTTGGTTTACAGATTTTAAATGAGAACAGAGCTAACTGCAAGTGTATGAACAAGGAGAAGAATTTGATATAGCTCGCAACAAGGTGTGTGTATATATAGAACTAAAGAAAGCAAAGAGAGAAGGGATAAGAAAGAAACAATGTACTTTTGAATATTTTTTTAGCTGAAACCAAATTGTCTTATGTAAGCTCCTAGAAAAAAGATTTCTTATGCTTTCAACAAATGCTAAGCAATAATATAGGAATTCAATCATTTCTCTTTTTGTTTTGTCACATCCAAGTAAATATGCAGAATCTAGTAAACAAAGCTTGCCCACAATTTCCAGCCCTTAAGAAGCTATTTGTGCCACTCAACAATGCGTTAGAGACTGTTACACATTCGAAGAGATGCAGAAGACTTTGTCTTTGAAATTTGGTCAGCCACTAGCATCAACTCAGAAGATCTATAACTGATTTTTTGTGGGTGTAAAGGGATCCAAAGCTTACAAGCAGCTTTCATCGATACGTTCTGCACAGAGAAAAGCAGAGCAGAAGCGAAAGCATGCTGATGCTGCTGAGCAGAAGGTGATGAAATTCAGTCTCTTCGGAGAGCATAGAGAGTAATTTAAAGAAACTTTTTGTTGCATTATTAGTGAAGAAATATGTTATTCAAGAAATTTTTAGTTGCATTATGAAAGACCATATGTAGTTGCAGTTGCACTTTTATCATGTGGAGCCATAAAATCATACTTTTAGTTCCGAAGAATAAGAATAGTAATCTTGTATCATTTAAATTTTTTAACATAACCTAGGCTTGCGTAGCCTCACGGTTAACAATATCATATAAAAAAATAATTTAACATTTAATTCATTATATTAAGCCATACTTGATATTATATGAAATGTCACAGTTGTTGTTTGTTTTCTTTACAATGAGAATCTAATAAACAAGATTCGTCAGTGTTCTGAGCATAATAAATACAAGGCATACATACACTTCAAAAAATAATTAATCAAAAAACCTTGCAATGGATCTTCAACTAAACACTAACCTTCTCCTCATCACATCCTTCGTTTTTGCTTTCATGCTTAATGTCTTCTTCAAATGGTTCTCCAAGAATTCAACGGCTGCAACAAATCTGCCACAGAGCCCTCCAGCTTTACCATTCATTGGTCACCTTCATTTGATAGGCAAAGTGTTGCCTGTCTCATTCCAGAGGCTAGCTCGTAAGCATGGCCCACTCATGGAGATACGTCTTGGTGCCTCTAAGTGTGTTGTGGTCTCAAACTCTTCGGTGGCTAGAGAGATATTCAAGAACCAAGAGCTTAATTTCTCCTCCAGACCTGAGTTCGGTTCTGCTGAGTATTTCAAGTACAGAGGGTCAAGGTTTGTCCTCGCGCAGTACGGTGATTACTGGAGGTTCATGAAGAAGCTCTGCATGACCAAGCTTCTCGCTGTTCCTCAGCTTGAGAAATTCTCCGACATCCGTGAGGAGGAGAAACTGAAGCTGGTGGAGTCTGTGGCTAAGTGTTGCAGAGAAGGGGTGCCTTGTGACTTGAGTAGCCTGTTCGTGAGTTACACGAACAATATCATCTGCAGGATGGCGATGAGCACGAGGTGTTCAGGTACTGATAATGAAGCGGAGGAGATTAGGAAGCTGGTCAAGACATGTTTGGAGCTTGCGGGGAAGGTCAGCGTTGGAGATGTGTTGGGGCCATTGAAAGTACTTGATTTTTCAGGGAGCGGGAGGAAACTTGTGGCGGTGATGGAGAAGTATGATCTGCTTGTAGAGAAGATCATGAAGGAACGTGAGGCAATGGTGATGAAGAAAGAAGGTATGAGAAAAGACATTTTGGATATATTGTTGGAAACTTACAGAGATCCCAACGCTGAAATGAAGATAACGAGGAATGACATGAAGTCTTTCCTGTTGGTATGTTTCCTCTCACCTGCAACTGGCCTAGGTTTTTGAATCGAGCCTAACCAAAATTTCGGTTAGTTCGGTTCAATGCAGTAGATTTTCTATAAAAAGATAGTTTTCAGTTCGGTTTGGCAATCGGCTACTCGTTTTTTCTAAAAATTATACCCAAACCAGACCAAAAACCCGAACCCAACTAACCGGACTAATCCAATTTCAAGCCAAACTAACCGAGTTTATTTAAAACTAACTGAATTTATGCAAAATTTTAATAAAATCTAACCAAAATCAATCTCTTTGGTTAGAATTTTCAAAAACCAGACTAATCAAATACCAAAAAAACTTTATTTAGGTGAGTTTGGCAAGATGTATGTTGAACCGAATAACCCAAATTTAATCAAACTAACTGAATTTATCTGAAATTTTAACAAAATTAAACCGAAATATAAAACTTCCATAGGATTTTAAGAAACCGAATACCAAACCGAACTTTGTTTTGGGTGAAGATTTATATTGAACCGAATAAACCGAACCTACATGCCTACGTGCAACAATTAGAATCCAATTTTCGGTTTTAATAATTCTGATATGATATAACTGAAACTTCTTTAGGATGTTTTCATGGCGGGAACAGATACATCAGCAGCAGCAATGCAATGGGCAATGGGGGAACTAATAAACCATCCAAAAGCGTTCAACAAGTTAAGAGAAGAGATTGACACCGTTGTTGGAAGCAAAAGACTAGTCAAAGAACCAGACGTTCCTAATCTCCCTTACCTCCGAGCTGTCCTAAGAGAAACTCTGAGGCTCCACCCATCAGCTCCTCTGATCATAAGAGAATGCGCAGAAGACTGCCAGGTGAACGGGTGTCTTATCAAGTCAAAAACACGTGTGCTAGTAAACGTCTATGCAATCATGAGAGATCCAGAGCTGTGGAAGGATGCAGACAAGTTCATACCAGAGAGGTTTCTAGAGAGCTCTGAAGAGAAGATAGGTGAGCATCAGATGGAGTTCAAGGGGCAGAATTTTCGTTACCTTCCGTTTGGGAGTGGGAGAAGAGGTTGTCCAGGAGCGTCTCTTGCTATGAATGTGATGCATGCAGGTGTGGGTTCGTTGGTGCAGCGATTTGACTGGAAGAGTGTTGATGGAAAGAAGGTTGATCTGAGTCAAGGTTCTGGTTTTGCTGCTGAGATGGCTCGACCACTTGTCTGCACTCCTGTGGATTGCTTCAACACTTTCTAAGTGTTTGTGTAACGCCTTATTTACATGTTTCTGTAAGACTTCCCAAGAAATGTATGTATTAAGAAACCATGGATCTGTAATTCTGTATAATTTCAAGGCTCTTTCGAATAAAACTTGCTCTCCAATATTAGTCCTTTAAAGTTTATCAGATAAGAAATGCATAACTATACCTGTTTATAGCCTCTAAGTGTGAAATCTTAAATTATATTGGAATGATAAACAATATACAAAATATTCAGATACATGAACGCTTTGATTTCAGGTTTGATTTGGCAAAGATCAACTCAAAGAGTAGAATTCATTTCAAGGTCAAATATACCATTCCCTGAAGGAAATGATAAGAACAAATTTAGAAAGTTTTTTAATTCAGGCAAAAGTTTCAATCCTTCCAGAAGAATAGCTTACGGAGCCAAATGGCAATAGCAAATTGCAAGAAACTTTACTAAAATAATGCATCACCAAGAACATAGCAAATGCAAAGGGCTAAGCAAAATAAGTGTAGTATCCGTCACCCAAGATTCTAATTTCGTATTGTTTATAATGGGATTTTACGGCCCATTTAATTGTTGGCGCTCTTTTTGACCCATTGTTTATAAACTGAAGCGTATGGCAATGTAACATAACTTATTTTCTCTGCTTGTTTGTTCAAAGATCTGTAAGTGTAATTATTTATCCGTCACCGATGTTTCTGTAATGTGGGTTGATATGTTTCATGCATAAAGCAAAGTTCACATTCTAAGTCGTTTTAGCATGACAATTTAATTTGTTTTCACTAATCAGAGCTTAGAACATTATAAGCTTAATCATCATATGCTGCCGAAAGTAAACATGTCGTAGTAAATTCACCCTTGAAGTGTATGTAGTGGTTGCATCTAAATCAAATAAACAGTAAGTCTAACGCACAATCTGACATCATACATGAACCTTGAACATTCTTTTTGCAAACTCAGAATGCAAACCATTTGATCTAACAAGATTCGAATCCTTCAGAACACATCAAACATCTACCTTCGTGACTGCAGCGGAAACAAACCAAGTGCCAAAACGATTTGAGTCTTAGTCGTTGATAACACAATTCTGAAATTTATCATGTCAAAAACAAGTGTTGTCCTATAAAAACCACCATTGCATCATCTGCTTCAGTATCAAAATAAATAAGTAAATAAATATGTTAGCAGATGCTTCTCAAGGTGACATATTTGATTATGAGTCAGCAGCAGACAGTATTGTGGCACTCGTGGTATCAAAAATAACCGAGCTTGAAACTCTCTGGACAAGATAATTCTCGAGCATTCTTCTCGGATTTCCAAAATCTTAAATTCCTTCAAAGAAAAAAAAACTCTTTTCATCTAAATAGACATTTCAATATTTGACTTTTGACCGTTTCAATATCCTAAAATCAATCAATCTCTCTCTCTCTCTCTCTCTCTCTCTCTCTCTCTCTCTCATACTCGACATTAGCAATTTCTTCAAATTTAAATGTTTTCAGCAAGAAAACATCTCTAGCATATTTAATTGTAATTGTGAAATTTTTGTGCAACTTCAATTGAAATAGCTGGAATATCATCAAAGCTCCAAAGAACTCTTAGTAGTGTGGTCCGATGATCTCTAGTTTGATCGATTTGTGGTAGATCTATTAGCCTATCTTGTGATTGTAAACTCTGAATAATTTTCAATTCACTGCCTTAGCAATAGGTTATATACACCATCAAGGTTATTCCTTTAGCATTATTGTTGTTTAATTTGAGCATCTCTTACTCTTGCATAGAATGGCTCTAAAGGGCAAGGAGAAGGTGGAAGCAGATTTAATCCCTCAGGGGATCTTAAACAAGTATAAGATAGGCGGTAAAGCATTCAAGATTCTTAGAGAATCTCAGCACTGGAATGATGTTCTTATCTCAAAAAACTCAAGGCATTTCTTTCGTGGAATCAGTGGTTTAGATGATACTATGATCGACAAGATCCGTGAAGGATTAAACAAGTATATGGTAAGTAAAAAAAAAATATTTTGATTTGCCAAGAATATATGCTTAGATTGCTGTTTTTCTTTCAGGATACCCTGGAGTCTGAAGCTATTGTCTTCATTCAAGATACTCTCAGTATGTTAGATCGAGTATGGGACGTTACAGACAATAAAGATGTGCCTCAGGATATGCTCTCAAGTTATATCTGGTAAAAACATGTAATTCTTGAAGCTAAAGATTACGTAAGACAATTCTACAGCCGTGAAGAAGTTATTCAGAAAGTGTTTGAGAAATTTCATCAGCCAGAAGAACAAACCAATCAGATGTATGATCTCTGGTTTACTTTGAAATCTAGAAAGGCCAAGAATGTTTACTTGGAAATGTCAGCGATAAGAGCCTCTCAAAGAAAAGTTGTGGCGAATGAGCTTGAGATGGCTTCTTTGCAGAAGGATGAGCTTGGGAATCTTGTTGCTGAGCAGAATGAGCTGAAAGAGGAGGCTGAAGCTAGTTGGAGAAGAATCAGAAGGAGGCTGCTTTGCCGCATGTTAGTTTCTTTCATATACCGTATATACAAATATTGCTTTACTTGAAAACATTTTTGAAACTGAAAAAAAGAGGCTGCTTTATCATAGGTTAGTGATCAGAAAGAGAAGGCTACTAGATTGATGGAAGCTTTAGAACTCCAAGAGAAGATGGTTGAAGAAATAAAAAGCTATCAACCCGATATTGCTACAAAAGATGAACTAGAGTCTCTTCAGATTGGCATAATAAGAAAACTTGAGTCTGTGGGTGAAGAATTAGCCAGTGGAGTGATATCTGGTATTGAGAAGATTCTAACCTCACCTAGGAGCCAATACCAGATGTCACTCCACTGGCTAATTTTTCACCCACAGACTCAATAATGAAATCATAAAACTAACACCTCTGTGAATTTTTACATCATAAGATTATTTGTTTTACATGGATAATAAAAATTACAACTTTGTGAATGTTCTTTACCTAATGAGTTTAAGTAACAAAATAAATGATTTTTAAGCTATAACAATGGAGATTGCACAAAAAAATCACAAAGCTTTAACTTTAAAAATACATATGCTAAAAATGCGTTTATGGTGAAACAACAATCAAATATGAAGAAACTGCTATTGGAAAAGTTTGAAATCCATAGTTATTCCTCTATTGAGGTAAACTTGAGTTTCAACTGTTTCATGATACTTTGCATATATACACAACATATTCAAAAAACTAAAATCTGACAATTTCACAAAGAAACCTTTAAAGTTTGAGATACGAGGATGGTCTACAGAAAATTGTTTGCATATCATTTATAGTATAACATAGATATATATTAGAAATGTATCATTATTATATTTATATATTAGAGTGAAAAATATGTTCTTCAAAAACTTTAACCGAAGTCTTAAGAAGTGAAACGTATGATAGCGCACACTTCTTATCTTGCCTTGTTCAAAGATCTATAACTAAGCGTATTTTTAACTATAACTTCAAATTTGGTGTTGAAATTACATCAAATTTAATGTTTTGGTGTTAAATTTTACTTTTCATCTCCAACAATCATACTAAATTCAACATCAAAACAATATTTTATATTATTAAATTTTTACTTTTGGTAATTTACTATATTAATTATTTGTAATTGCGTAATTATAGTTATCACATTTAGTTTTATATATATTTATTAAATTTTGGAAAAATAAAACGATATTTTAATCCGATATTTAAAAAAATGGTATAGATGGTCGAAAAAAGGGACATTTATTTAGTTGAGTTTAGTGGAAAGCACTTTTGATGTGTTTGTCTGTCTCATAATTGTTGGCATCATTTTAACTTTGATATGTTTTAGGTTGCTCCATATACTATGTTTTACTCGCACTTGGAGGAGCACATGACAGAGGAGGTATTGTGCTAACTATCAACAAATGGAATGGACCATTTGCACCGGGAGTTCCACATGTCTATGTATCTGGTTCAGATCCCAAACTGGTTTCAGGGCGAGGTGCTTGGTTCCACCAAAGACAATCCATTCTCATTGCCAGAAGCCTACAAGGCAGTGCAACAGACAATGTTGGTTGTGTTTTGCTTTTTAGAACAGAAGTGTTATGTTTGTTTGCGTTTCTTCCAAATTACAACAGTCTGATATTGATACCCAAACTGCATATTTGTTACTAGACCAGTTTTGATCCAATCCTCTTCAAAGATTGCTAGGTTATATGACATCTGAAATTAACTACATAGTTTCTAACTCCTAAAGATCATATTCTTGCAAAACATTATGCAATCTTTTCTTTTTAATTGTTGATTTTTTTTTCAATTCTTATAAAGCATGTAACAACTTTGTAACTCCTTAAAATTCAAATATTGTAAGATTTTTTATTTTCTCTTAACCATCTACGTACAAACAATCTGAAACTCTGAAAAACTTCTCTGAATCAATAGTTGTTGTTCTCTTGTCTTTAGCTTGAAGGAAACAGCTTCTCTGCTTGGTCAGGGAAGAACGTTATGAACAACAAAGCACCTGCAAGTTCCAACAGAGTCTTAAGTTCATAAACCACAAGAAAAAGACCAAACAACAATCTCTCTCTCTCTCTCTATTAGTAGATTTTTTACTTACAGACGAGCACTGTTCCCAAGACAGCTGAGATCTTCCCTTGAATTGTAATAAGCCCTGCCTTGCCTGCATTCTGCAACTCCGTTGAACCAACCGATTCAAATGTCCCTAATGACACAACAACCATAAAAATCTAGTTCAGAGTCCTGATTTTAACAGATTGTAGATGAAAATCTAAATGGAAACAAACCTGGTTTTACAGATTGTAGCCCTGATGTTACACAAGCTATGTTATCAAAACCTGCTTCCTCCAATCTACTAGCTGCAGCTGCAGATCTTTTCAAAGATTCACAAAGAAACTCAACACTCTCTCTTCATATAGATACATGTCTCAGTGAATAATACAAAGCTTTTTTCTACTAACCTGAGACCTTCTTGGCAAACTAGTAATAGTTTACTGTCCTGTGAAAACTCGTTTCTAACTGATTTAACGAACTCTGGATTCAGCTTTGTGAAAGGCAAACCAAAGAATAGCCCTGAGAAGTTGTTATGCACTGTCCTCTTTATAATCGTACCTGTAATTTTCACCAGAGACAACAACATCACTACTGTTCTGTTCAAGTTTTGAGGAGATTGAGTTTGTTACCAAGATCGTTGTCTTCATTGAAAATGAAGAGAGGGATATGGTGGCAAGACTTTATATGAGCTCTCTCGAACTGAGTCTTGTCTCTTACATCCACCACAGAGTAACCTTCCTTTGATATCAACTGCTTTGCTTCCTCTGCATTCACAAACTTCACCTCAGCCGCAACTCTCAGGTTTCTCCGGCGAGTTCCATTACCAGAAAAGCTCTTTCCAGACCAGCTCACAGCTTTTAACCGCCTCGTGCCGAGATTACTGCATCAGAAAAGAGTTTAACCTCTTCTGATTGGTTCTGTTTCAAGATAAGAAGTAAGCTCTCAAATGAAGGATGTAGCTTTTTACCTGGTGAAGTAAAGAGCCGTAGGGCTAGGGCTTGCGATCCCCGCCATTGATGCAGAAGTCTCTCGAGCAGAAAAAAAAAAAGAAAATCGTCACTGCGATGTGATGATAGTCACACTAAGACAAGAACCAGTAGATTAGACATAGCACAAGGGAATTTAAGATAGCCAATGAGTTATTGCCACGTATTCAACTCAGCTTTTATATGTAGATTTTCAGATAGAAGTAACAAACGCAAGTACATAATTGATCGCTTAGAGTTAGAAACTAACATTTTTTAACATTTTGAAGACAAAGTTGATTTTTTTATTGAAGGGGAAGTTCAGACAAAAGATGTAAGTCAATCTCCATAAACACAGGATGAAACAAAGAGTAAAAGAGTTTCAAGATTTTATATCTCCAGATAGAAAAAAAAAAAAAGAGAGGACAGGGAAGAGAGATGATCTCAAGAGCCCTGGATAAAGCAGATGCAGAGCTTTATTAACTTCAGTCGCCAAAACAGAGATCAGGCATCAGCTTTAGCTGTTTTCTCGACAGGGGTGTACGGATAATACTCTCTACCGTTGTCTACTCTTGTGGTCTGACCTCCAGAGTCAATCAAAGCAGAGGTAACTGCTAGCGTTGCACCTGCAGCTATCGCTGTGGGAATGCTCCTTGCTGTGTCAAAAAAACGAAAAAACAAATTTCACCAAAGGTTATAAAAAGAATGCACAAATCTATAGCATCTAATCACTCAAAGCTATGAACTTTCAATCTTTACATACATAATCACTCCGTATCAAAGTCTTAGATCATACACATTTGCTACACAAGTTTACATACTCCAAAAAACCATATCAGTTCCAACCAAACTACTTATCATTAAGACATCAGTTTATACTCTAACAAAACTCATAGCTATACGCTGAAATGATTCATTATATATATAAATGAATGCAACAAATCTGTAGCATCTACTCAAAGCTATGAACTTTCAATCTTTACATACATTATCACTCCGTATCAAAATCTTAGATCATACACATTTGCTACACAAGTTTACATACTCCAAAAAAACCATATCAGTTCCAACCAAACTACTTATCATTAAGACATCATACACTAACAAACCACAACAATGAAAAAACCATATAGTACCTCTATATCCAAGTACAGAAGCTCCAGCAACAAACCCACCAACAGCACCATTGAAAAAATCTCTCTTTCCTCTATAACTCTGAACCACCTGTTCCACACCGATGTAAACTCCTCCAATAGCAGCAAAAGTAAGCCCATGAGTTCCCATCATCTTCAACGTCCTGATGAGACCAGGAAGAGCCACGTTTCTCTCCACTCTCGGAACATCTTTCCACGTGGCTAAAATGGTTCCGTAGATAGTCCCAGCAGCGAAACCAGTCACACTTCCTTTGATTGTCTTCATCATTGGACCATCCTCTTCTTCCAAGTACCTCATCTCAGCTGGATCCATGGCTTCTTCCTAACAACAACAACAAATCAAGGTTTTGACCCATTCTCAGATTAACAACATAAAGAAAGATAATCATCATGGGTTTCATGTAGAGACATAAACTGATTAGAATAACACGAAAAGTTTGAGACTTTGTTGGTGTTAAGGAAAGAACCCTAATTTGAGAAGCTTGTCAAAGTCGTGATACAATAAACGAAGAAGCTAGAATCGATTACTGAGTAACAGGAGAGAAATTATACAAGGAGTGAGAAAGGTTTAACCTTTTTTAGGATTCGAGAGAGGAGCAAAGGGGTGAGCGATTCAGTGGGGGAAGATCAAAGATGTGTTCTTTGTTTTCGATGTTGTTCTTCAGGAGACGACACTGTAGTGCTTAGAGAAAAATTGGGTCTTTGAGGCCCGTTAATAAGCCCATTAAGATTGTATAAAACACTCGACTCTGAGTTTTGACTTTTTTAAGCTGTTGAGTCCAAGAAAAAGAGACTGACTACTGAACTGTCTTGGCTATGCATAAGCTATAAGGCTACAATGATGTAATCTTCTAGTTGGTAGTTCATGCATTGATTCACTAGGATGATTGTATTAGGAACATTTTTTAGATGGGATTTTAAGTTATATCTAAAAATGGTAGGCCAATTATTAGGTGAGAAACACACCTTTAACTTAACATGAAATCCTATCTATTGATTTACTAAACACCTTTAATGGTACTAGAATCATATCCACCTAATCCAATCTGATCCGTAATTGATCTAACTCAAACTTGGCCTATCAATTCTTGTTTGAACATTAAGAACATCATCCCACGTTGAAAAGTTAGAGATAGTCCAACCAATTACCACCAAGATGAAAACACATTTAACTTAACATATTAGAGATCAATATATGGAATCTTTATGCGGTATTGATGACCATTATGCTCAAAAATAATCTCTTAACTTGGAGATCATGAGGATAATACAACAACAACAAGCATAAAAACAAAAGCCATTGTCTGGTTTATTAGTAGCAAATAACAGAAGAAGAAAAAATGAGATAAGATATTGCAAAGAGTAGTCTACTTTCAAAGAGACCAGTTGTTATGGTGTGAAGAAGAGTCATAAGCCCTTGTGTTATCATCTTCCATGTACTGCCTCCTATTTTGATGTTGATGATGATGATGATCAGATAACTCAAACTCACCCATTGTTGTTCCACCACTTATCTGGCAATGATCTGTCTCGGTGAACCGGCCCAAATTCAAAACAGGAGACATATCATTCGGACAGGTACTATCATCGTCCTTGAACACCCAAGGCGGGTGTAAGTACTGATTAGGTGCTGGTGGTGGCTGAGCCATTGTAACTGTCATCGGATCAAAACCTGAAGAAGTTCTCCATGTGTTGTTGTTGATGTTGTTGTTGTCTTGTGGCTGATGTGGATTTGACAGAAGAGAGAGAGCACAGTTTGAGTCGCCACCAATTCCCTTGTAGCTCTCTGGTTTAGTGTCCATAATCTCTGGAGATGAGAAGCTTATCCCTCCTCGTCCACTGACTGATCCTTGACTAAATACATTCATTGGATTGATCTGCCACGACGGTGCTGACACTGGCCGGCTCATCACTCTTGTATCCAACGTTCTTGAACTTGTCCAGCCCATTTCTTGGGAACCAAGAAAGCTCCCATTCATTGTAGTTTCAGCATTTCCTGGTCCCATATAACATTATACATCTTAGGGTTAGTTTACAAATTGGTCTTATTATGTTAAGTTTCATTGGTTTTCAACTCAAAATAATTAATTGACAATAAATAGACTGGCTATAACCATTTATAAATTAATTTATTAATTCGTTTATTAACATATTAAGTTTAAGGATCTAACCGTAAAGCGAAGGTGTTATCCTCCCGTAACGAGAAGACAACACCGAGAGAGACGCAGGCTGTGGCTTCCTCCGTCGCTCATTATGACCAGCGAGTCTCCTACGGCAACTTCTTTTCTCTAGGTCAAATTCTTGAAGATGATGAAACCTATATATATATGATCACATTGATTCAAACCGTGTTAACTTCTAAGAAAAGCAACATATAACCAAAAACATTCCAACACACATAAGATCATCTTAATGGATTCTATAAGTCAAAAATGTTTTGATTCTGTTTCTTTAGTGTTAACGTCATTGATGCTACGGTACCAGTTTTGTCCCCCTCAATAATGATATGACCTAAAGAAGCAAACATAATGGCAATAGGTTTCTTATTGTCCATTCATTTCATATCCCTTTGGATTATATTTTGTGTAAGAAAGACAAGTCAAAAAGAAAATAAAAGAGAAGCATATAGAAGTACACGTAAACATATTCTCCCAAATGAGCCCCAACGAGTCCAACAAACACAAGACCAAGTTACAAAACACTAAGCTGTAAAGTTTAAAAGTGAAACCCTCCAAAGACGTTAAAGCCAAGAAAAAGCATATGACACTGACAATCTACACAAAAAGATATAGCTAAAGCCTTTGGATTTGATTCACAGGAGAGTCTTGGCCGGTAAAATATATATTTTATTAAAACTTTTGAATCACTTAATAGGAGTTTGAAGAGTCATGTTTTCGATTCCATGAGGGTCTATAACTCCTAAATATAGTTAATTTAACATTGATCTAGGTTTTGTCCCTAGATAAATGTACGGGTCTTCCGATCCAAAACTTCTTATCATACAAAACAAAACAAAACAAAACAAAACAAAACAAAAATCTTGGTCCGCACTAATTGCTAATCAGACCACTTAAAAAAATTATACGCTCAAATTAAAGTTTTTATACAATTTTTTCATAATATTCTAAATAATTACAACTGTAGTATAAACTTGTGATTTTTTAACAACCGGTTGTTTTGGCTATGTTCCTAATCAGGCCTGCCAGTAATTGCTAAACATAAAACATGTAATAAAAAAAAAATTTGAAACATGCTAAACATGTAAATAAAGACTAGGAGTAACGGGTAGAATAGGGAGAAGAAAAGAAATAAAGAACCTGCTGCACTGTTGACAAAACCTCTGTTCAGTACCACCAACAATGACTTTGGGTGTTTTAGAATGCGTTCCACAAACTCTATGCCTCGAGTAATAACCCTTTGCGTTGGTTAGATCCATTCCACAACCTTCCACTTGGCACCTAGGTATCTGACTTGAATGACCCGACCCGCCTCCACGGACCCTTCTGTTTGACCCGGCTGAGGAAGAAGACCCACCTCCAGCGTCCTCAAAGTAGATCTTCTGCCCAAACATGAGCCCTCCACTGAAAGAGGATGACTCAGTTGATGAACCACCGGACTCTGCCTGACCAGGACCACGACCCGGACCCGAGTTGGAACCTATATTCATTTTTGTTTCCTCTTACTCAGACAGAAAGGGAGTACTTGCTCTCATCATTATCTCTTTCTCTCTCTTTCTATCGAACCTAACTGTCTTGATTTAAAGAAAGGACGAAAGGAGAAGAAAGCAAAACAAGAGAGAGGGAGACAACAGAAGAAGCAAAAAAAAAGAGAAGAGAGTGGCGATAGACAAAGACAGTAAGAAAGAAGTAAGTAAATGGTACGGACAAGACTAAAAACTGTTGTCTGTTAGAGAGATGTAGCAGTTACCAATCTTGGAGTTAGAAGAAACTTGAGCAAAATGAACATTGGAGAGGTCTTTCAATCATGTACACTCCTTTTTATTATTATTTTTACTTTATACTGTTCACGTTTTCAACTTTGTAAAGATTTTTTTTTTCCGGTTCAATTATTTGACAAGTTAAACGCATTTCTTTCTGTCATTTTTTATTTTCAAACGAATAAATAAATAAATGCATGTTTTCTTTTGGTCCACCATTGGCATTATGAAGTTGGCAAATAATAAATGGAGATGATATTTTGTGTTTCTGCACATCAAAATCTACCACAAATTTGACTGGTTTTGAACTGAGGTCTGAGCTGAATGATTATCAAACCAAAATAAACGGAATATACTCAGTAAATGTTTTTTTAAATAGACTACTCAATAAATGTTTTATTAACCAATTAATGAAAACTATCCCAACCAACCAAATCAAAACTAAAATATCTTCTCAACTAACCCCGTTATTTATTCCGTTTTTTAGAGCATAGTTACATTGATTCGCTTGTTTACGGCGACATATTTTTAGAAAATAAATCTTTGTTTTTTTGGAGTTGATTTTGACACGTTAAATATACATGTTTGAAAGAAAATCATTTGAAATACACTAAAATCAAGTTCTTAGAAAATAGATTTAAAGCGGTTAATTATGAGATCGGTTTAAGTTTTTATATAGCTTAGAACATTAGTTTTTAGATGTGACGTATGTAAATGATCAACATCAAATACCATAGAAAAATTTTAAACTTATTAAGATACAAAATATGGGATAAGAACTTGCTGGGTCGATGTATTAAAATCTAAGATCTCAGCATGGATAAGGGATACATTGACTTCACGTTATTATGAGCGAAACACACACATATGAACGTCACTCCTAGGTTGCGGCTTAACTATTACTTGTATACTATACTACTAGTCAGACAAGGTCGACAATTTAGAGTTTTTTTCAACACAACACATTAACAACGACCCATCCTGTTCACCGCTCCCATGCTTCTTCAGACCCATATTTTCTCTCGTTGTGCATATTATTTCTTTCAGAAAAATTTGTGTTAACATTCTCTCATACGCATAAGTTTATTGATTCAGTTGTCCTATATACCGTATCTGGCTCACACAATAGATTTCATATACAGTTTTACTATAAGGCGCATCTAAAAAGCGTTTATTAATTTTAAAAAACTATATGGTCCACTATTCTTGTGTGTCTACATTATATGGATTCGATGTGTTACAAAAGGGAGTTCTAGTTCGATGGTTCTCCTTAAAGTGGATATCCATAATAAGTGTGATGGTGATGTGTCATGTGTGATGTAAGTTCTTTTGGGTCATAGGTGATGTAATAAGTTTGTGGTGATGTGTCATGTGTAATTTAAGTCTTTTTGGGTCATAGGAGATGTAAGTTTAATTAAAGCAGTATTTAAAATTTTAAGAGCATCTATCTAGACCAGGGAACAATCTTGAGATTTGCATAGTACACCCAGCTTCAAAAATCTTGATAATGAGAATTTTAATTTGTACTTACAATAATGACCTTTGGTCTTTAAATACTTCATTATTCTTCATAGATTCTATGCTCAACATTGGGAACCACAAAGCAAGTGCCGAGGAGTTCAGAGTTCTATAAATAGATGGTTTCTTACTTTTACAAATATAACTGTAGTAGTTAGAGAGTAACGAATATGGTAAAAAATGATCGAGAATTTTTAATCGTAGCGATTTAAAATGTTTAAAAAATAAAATACTGAAATATGAGCAGTACATTTATTGGAACACAACAAAAGATGTGACACTTCAAGGGAAACTAGCTGGTGTCGGCAGGTGTGCAAGCAACACAATAAATAGAGTAAAACTCAATACTCTATTTTAATTTGTTAAACCTCTTGCTCTGTTGAACAAAAAAGAAGAAAAAAAAATCTCTATTTATATATGAAAATATAACCAAACTGTGTAATTTGATTATTCTGACTTTAGATTTGTTTGCTTGCTTTTTGTAAATAAAACTATATTTGGCTTTTCTCCCCATTTGTTTTCGTTTGAAAAATCATATCACTACTCACGATGTCCAAAGCAAGATTTTCCTGGTTTTTGTAATAATAGAGAGTATGAAAAGTTAAATCGTAGTCATAGATATCCATCAGAGTCTGTGCAAACTGTAATACTTTACATATTATATATAGGTTTAAGTTTGATTTGTTCTTTTTGCTTAGCTTTATTTAGTGAAAGTTGTTTCCTTTTGTTTGGCTGCATTGGTTAAACCCTGAAACTAAAGACCTGATCTTTTAAGACTGATTTTACAAACGTGTCAAGAGACAACTAGGTTCTATATAGCTAGACATTCAAAAAAAAATTAGTAGTATTATTTATGTCGAACATAATATGAATTAGTGTTCGAGTTTCCTATAAAGCTCATCTGGTCTTGACTAGCCTTATGTTTCAAGTCTTTGCCATTGGGTTGATAAGAGTATGTTTAATGAGAAATTTTTAGAGTGGAATTGTTATCGGAATATGAAAATTTGTCTCTTAACTTTTAAATAAGAGATTTAAGAGCCGGTTCTTAGCTTTTTTTAGTTAAAAGTTAAGAAACGAGTTTTTATATGAGAAAAAAGAAAGAAAACATTAGTATATATATTTAGGTTTTTTTTCAGATTTCAAATGATTATCAGATGTTTTGAAGTTTTATGATTAAAAAAACAATTCAAGGCTTATTGCAGTAGATTCCTGAAGTTGTGTTTTTATCTTAACGTCTGAAGCAGAGTTCAATCTCCCTCTTCTTACCTCTCATCCCTGCTACATTCTACGGAACTTACACGATTTGCAATTATAACATGTCTTAGAATAATTAGAACTTTTGTAGATATATAAGAGGATCTCAGTGTTGCATGACAATCTTTGGACAATCAAGTGTCAGAAACTAAACGTATGAGACACAAGAAAAGGGTATGCAGATTGATGCCATTTGATTCATGAATCATATAAACACCAAAAAGATATCCGAAGTTACTCAAATTGCAAAAGAAAAAAAAAACAAAAGGGTAATAATGCCAAAAAAAAAAGAAGCCTCCTCAACTTAACTTGTTTCTTGAAGTTCTTGTTTTCTCAAACTCCATTACATTCCACAACAGCTTCAGCAGCTCGTCTAGGCTTGCTTTTCCTCCTGCTTCCATTCTGTCTAAACCCAGTAGATGTCGGTTTCGTGGAACCATCCATGCTTGATTTTGATCCTAACACATTCTCTTCTTCTTTGATATCTTCTATATTGCTTCCACTAGATATCTTCCTCTTCCTCTCGTTTGTATCATCAATATCTTCTTCTTCCATCTTCTCTACCATCTCCTCTTCTTCTTCTTCTTCGTCCTCCTCTTCGAAATCATCTCTCATCGCCTTCTGTGGTCTTCCCCTTCTCCTGTGAGCTGGGATCTTTTCTTCTTCCCGTGCAGATGCACTCTGCTTCCTCCCTTTCCCTCTACCTCTCCTCATAGTCTATAAATCCCACAAACCTGCATGCTCAAACACACATAAATATATGTTTTAGCTGTGCTCATAAGAGAACAATCTTTATGTCATTCTCAAAAATAAACTCATGAAAAGAACTAATTGGTTAACAACAGACGAACCACCAATCAAAAACATGAAAAACAAGATTCCACTTCAAGCATTGACCAATTCTATTAATAATTGTACTTCAAAACTTTTCCAACTTCCAAACCTAAACAGATTCCATTTTTCATAAATAATATAATAAGCTAAAAAAGAAAAAAGATTAACTTCCATAAAACCTCATTTGCATGAGTACATCAAAAGCTAACTTAAACTTCATAGAGCTTATCGAGAGCAACACAAACAAAATATAATCAAACATATCTATTATGATGCAAGAAGAGGGTAATATACTCATGAAGGAGAACAGAGACTAAACTCACCTTATGTGTGGCTAGTACCAGACAGCGAAACTGGTTTTTTTCTAGTGAAACCTAAACATTTTAGGGAGATCTGATAATAAAGACAGTAAAAAGAGAGTTTCCTTTGTATTACTTACACACACTTAGCAGTTGCATCATCCTATAAACCACTGGCCAATGGATGACTTCTTAAGCCTCCCGTTGAAGATGGGATTACGAGATTTTTCACATTCTTCCTAATCACACGCGCTAAAACCAGCGCGTATTGAACACTGACACAGCTGTTACAGTGAGTAGTGGTGCTCTCAAAATGTCTGTGGATAATAATGATGACAGCTCAACCTGCTCAAGAGACGCGTTGAATCAGATAGAAAAGAGGCTATTTATCCAATGGGCCACATGGCTTTCATAATGGGCCATGTTTAGATGATCAATCATTAGTACGATTTAATTTAATCCTTTTAACAGCTTTGTACTAAAATCCTGTAAATCTGTACATTTTCTTAGGCAAAACTCATTAAATTAACGTTTGTTATAAACAACCATCGGAATTTGAACTCTTAATTTTTAAAATTTTTACTAGATAATCCAAAAAATTACTTATTAAAACAATTATTGGTTGGTTGCTTTGTATATGTAGCTTCTGTGTGTTTTGCCATACGTTGCCAAAAGCTTTTATACAAATCATGTAACACATACTTTGCAGTTTGCTGATTTAGAGAAAGAGAGAATCACAAAGAGGTCCCAAAACTAGATATTCCTAATAAATGGTTTTGCCTCATACTCCCAATTATGCAATCAACATCATTACCCTAACTTGTTAGCAACAACAAAAGCTCTGTTCTACAGAGAATACAGCTATAATTAAGTAGTACAATATAACTAATTTACCTCCTTACACGTTTCTTTGACCGTGTAGAAGAAGGAGAAGAAGAAGCTTCCTTCTTTTCACTTGCTTCTCTGCTTCTCTTAGCAAGAATAGGAGAAGATGTAGCAGCTTCACTTTTCATGGCTCGACCATTGTTTTTCTTCTTCACAGGACTTCCTTTTTCATTTTTTTGGTTTTCCCCTGTTGTTGTTGTTGCTGCTCGTTTCTTAGCATCAGCTTTGTTGATTGGCTTTAATGTCTCCACCACTGTATCAGACGAAGAACCACCTTTCATTCTCTTGAGAAAAATCTCTACGCTTTTCTTTTTCGAGCTACCGTTATTGTTATTACCCTTCTTCTTATTCTTCTCCTCTTCATCAGTTTTCTTATCAACATTGGAATCACTGTTCTTGACGTTCCTGATTGCTACTTTTTTAGCCGTAGAGGTTTTTCCTCTCACCAACTTCTTCAAAACCAGAGTCTCGTCATCTTTCTCAGAGGTTGTTTCATCCTTCCCTGAACCCACCTTCTCATCATCATCCACTTCATCTATCTTCTTGCTTTTCATGTCAGCTCCAGAAGGTGATGATATCACTAGCAAAGGAGATTTAGCAGCCAAGGAGCTACGTTTCCTACAAGCTATAATAGGGAGAGAGATTCTCGGCTTTGAAGTGACTGCAACAGCTTCTTTAAACGAAACTAACTCCAATGACATCTCTTTTGGTGGTGAGATCTTCTCTCTAGGTCTCTCTCGAGTAGTATTCATCTGTTTCTTGACGAGTTGGTGAAGCTGCTCTGCAGAGTTGAGCTCAGGAGAATCCTTGTGATAAAAGACTTTGGCGTTGTTGATAAGTAGAAGCAAATCACGAAACAAGTGGCTCATCGAACTTTTGTACAAGCCTTCTTCGAACCGTTTCCTAATCATCTCAAAATCTATGTGCTGTCTTATAATCTTACCGTACTCTGGTGTTTCCTGTAGCTTCCACCGGTAAACACAAAGCCATTAAAAGTTGGAGCAATGCAGATTAAAATATTAATTTTGGTTTTTATTTTAAAAATCCTATAATGTATGATTGATGCATGGCTTTTTTTGCGTTGTTTCTATCAAGAATATATCGACATGGGCACGTTCCAACCAGTCAAAGAACTAAATGGAGACAATATGACCCAATCAAACAAGCGCACGTGTTACCATTTACATATTAAGACTATTAGCAAATAAAATATTTTTAAAAATTAAAAACAACACTAATATTAAGATGAAAGTATTTATTTTAATTTAACATTTGAAAATGATTGGAATAATTGGGTTTTTGATGTATTATTGATGAGTTTATTCGAATTAAATAATTTACTATCATTATATTTCTAATTATAATACCTTTTTTTATATTTTCAATAAAAACTTCAACAAAATATCAAAAATCATTAGGAAATTCAACTTTTACCAGAATGTTAATACATATCATACTACCACTTTCAAATTTACATTTAAAGATGACTATTTACATAAATTCTGATGAAAAATATTAAACAAGCCTTTTTAAACTATTCATAATTGTTGAATGATCATTATAACAATTTTAAATAATAATAAATTAATCATTATAATATACATCATCCAATTTTTTTTTTTTAATTTATCATCCAAATTCTACATTGAATACCAAAGTTGACAATATATGCTAACAATATACTATGCTACTATAAACAAAGCATATTATTCTTTTTTTTTGTCAACAAGCATATTATTCTTTTATCATTCTTTTTTATAAATTAAAAAAAAAGATTATAATTAAGGTCCTTTTAAAAAATATAAAACTCTAAAAAATTCGAATTTCAATTTTCACCTGAGTTTCGAGTCGGCGCGAAAAGTGGGAGCCACAGGGATGCGACAGAAGCATCTCGACGAAACTAATCGACGGCTGAGATTCAACATTGAAATCCTTGGCGCTCGGCGATTGATCCTCCTCCTCCTCCTCCTTATCCACTTCCGACGCTCCCTTCCTCGGCAAACTCGCCGAGCTCTGCACGTCACTCGTCTCCTTCCCCTCTGACTCAGTCAACTCGATCACTCTCCCCGGTTCAACTCGCTCCGAGTTTTCCTTCTCCACGCTCTCACAGCTCCCTCTGCACGAATCCTCTCCCGTCAGCTTAGGTTCTCCACCTTCGACGATCTCCTCCTCTCTCTTCACGTTCGCCGATCCGGTTCCAGGACTGATGTTATCTACCGGATCCGGAGAAATCGGGACCAGTTCACCGCCGTCGCGATCCGATTCACGGCGGAGATCTTTCTTTTCTAGATCTGAGCTCTTCTCCCTCTCTTCTTCCAATCTCTTCACCTTCGATTGCAACGACCTGCATCACCAAAACCGCCACTCGATTCATCAAAAATCTCCAAATCTCTAACCGTTTTTTCGTTTAAATCTCTAAACCGTTTTTTCTTTTGTTTAAATCCCTAAACCGGTTTTTTTGTTCAAATCTCTAAACTGTTAATTGCCTAAAGTCGATGGAGTTTACGAGATGGATAGATCGTATCGTTCAACTTCGCGACGAAGCTCATCGACTCGGAGCTTCCTAAGCTCCTCGAGCCAAGGGACGGTCGAGATCTCGGTGACGGAATCCGGTGAAGTAATTTCTTGAGTGAACCGTCGTTTGAGGTCGAAGTACTTGTGGCGGCAGGCGGAGGCGGTGAGGGAGGAGAGATTGGGACTCCGTTTCTGGATTTCGGCGGAGACGGAGGTCCATGAGTCGGTGCCGTGACGGTGTACGGCGCAGGCGAGGAGGAGGTCTTCTAATGTTCCCCATGGTTGTTTCTCGGGAAAGACGTCGTCGTTTTCAGGGGTAGCCATTAATGCAGAGGGAGAAAATGTTTAGCCTGAGAGTCGATGTGAATGTTTCTTCGCCTTCATTTAATGTTTATCTTATTATAGTATTTAATTATTGTATTCTCTGTTACATGTTTTGATTCGTCAGGAAAGTGAGGTTAATGTAACGTTTTCTTGGTAGGCTACTGATATTATGCACCTATTGATAATGTTGTTTTGGAAGTATTCCTTGACTCAGCCCAGCTATTAATCGGCCCAACTATTACATTTTTTCAATATTAAAGCATATTTTTCGTATTTATGTTTTTTTTAACAAATCTCAATTTTAAAAATATTGTATAGTTTTCATGTATATATGTAAAATTTTAATACGTTTTTGATTATTTTTTTTTTAGTATTTGACAAATGATTCAACAAAATTAAATATACATCCGGTTTAACAAAAATTACATGTATAAATCTATTCTGGACAGTATTATATTTAATTTAGTTATTTTTCAAAAATTTATATTGAATTTAGCGACTTAAAAAATATATTAATTTTAAGTTTGATAGTTTATGTAATTTACTTAGAATAAACTTTTAGTTTAAAATAAATTAAATTTGACTCAATAACAGAATTAGATTATTTTCCCGCCCAACTTGCTCCTAATCAACCGCAGTTTTGCTTGTTAGCTCTTAAAAAGAAGCTTTTCAAACCATCAGCCTGGTTAAACCGGACGATTTCCGGTTTAAATAAATCCCCTTTTGACACTCTCTCTGATAAAATGAAGAAAGACGCTCTTTCGTCGTCGATAAGTGCCAAAGTCGAAACCTTTTTCCTCAGTCCCAACTTCTCTCCCGAAACTTTCCCGCCATGGAAATCGACTCCGAGAAGACTCACGAACGGAAGCAATCCGACTACAATTGCCTGGTTCGAACCCCCTTGACTTCTCTGTTTACTATGTCTTAATTCGAGTGTTTGGTCGAGAAGACTCTTTGTACTGTCTGTATACGCAGGCTAGGCTTTATAATTGTGATTTCTGAGCTTTCTTTTATGTTTATATTTGAATTGAAGCAGGATGAGAGGTTTGAGATACAAAAGGAGATGTACAGAGGACAGCAATACAGTCAGATTTACTTCGCTCGTCTTCATCTCATGAGAACTCTTCTCTACTCCCTTGCCCCTTCCTGGAAGCCTCATTTGCCTGGTGAGAGTCTAGCTTTGACTTAACTCAACAAAAGGAGAGACCTTTCTTGGTTATTTTGTAGATTGTGGTGATGGGTTTCACGTAATTTTACAGATCTGGTTTTTGAGAATTTTGAAAGGGTTTATAATTATGTGTTGTTTTTTTGCAGTTTGTAAGGTGTTGGGACTTGAAGAAGGGAAGGAATGCATCATTGTAGGAACCTTGTTCAAGCACATGAAGCTTAAACCTTGCGTTCTTGATGAATATTCTAAAGAGGTTTGTTCCTTCCTTGGTTGTTTTACAAACTCTACTGAGTTTGATTGAGATTGAGCACTCAAGTTGTTGAGTATGTTAATGCAGAGGTCAGTTACTCCGCTTGTAAAACCTCATAACTTCATGCACCCTGATGATCATCTGATCCTAGAAGACGAGAGTGGTAGAGTTAAGCTTGGCGGCTCTTCTCTTTCACCTGCTGTTTTTGTCACTGGTATGCAAATGAAGTCATTAGTCTTGTGTTTGTTATGATGTGATACATGTTTGAGTTGCAGTAGCGAGGTTAATCTCTGTTAAACAAATGGATTCTTTGAGGAAATGGATAATGATTGCATTAGATAAATGTAGGTGTTGTTGTTGCATTGCACGGGAAGGAAACTAGTGCTGGTGAGTTCTTTGTTGAAGATGTACTAGAAGCTGGTCTACCACCTCAGATAGAGCGGCCTTTGGATCTAAGTAAGTCTGGCTATGTTCTTTTCCTTTTGCTTATCATCATATCTTAAAAGCAATCTCTTATAATTCATCTTATCCTCTTCTGCAGAGGAAGATAAATACGTTTTACTTGTGTCGGGCCTGTCCATTGGAAGCAATTCATCTAATCCTCTGCTATTTCAGCTTCTTGTTGACCATATAACTGGACATGTCTCAAATGATGAGGTTAAATAACTTTCAACTCTCATGTTCTTACATATTTTTCTTCCTTTAGTTTATAATGTATGGAGTTATATTGGTTTGAACAGGAACTAGGCCTTGCAGCGCAGATAGTTCATGTGGTAATTGCTGGAAATTCTGTTGAGTTTCCCCGTAAACTCTTAACCGGACAGGTACTTATAACTTTCATTACTGATATACAGCTTCAATTATCTGCCTCCTATGATCGTAGTTATTGGTTGTTTCTGCAGAACATGGCCTCGAAAGATCAGTCAACACTCTATGAGCCCATCAAAGAGCTTGATATCATGTTAAACCAGGTCAGTTGAAACCAGATCCACCTGTGTCTTATCAAATTCTATTGAGATGAAAACTCAAATTCTTGTTTTGTTTGTTGACTGTTCGTAGATAGCTGCAGGAGTTTCAGTAGATATAATGCCAGGCCTAAATGATCCAGCTAACTTCGCATTGCCTCAGCAGGTTGGCAAATACATAACAAACACTCAAAAAAATCGATATTAGTATCTGATCCTAAGGACGTTTTTCTTTTCTTTAGCCTCTGAACAGATGCCTTTTCCCTGGATCAGCACCTTATAACACCTTCAGATCATGTACAAACCCTCACTCCTTTGACGTCGATAATATCAGGTATGGCCACTGTACATAAACACAAACTCTTAACTGCAGTTCACTGTCTGATCTAAAACCTATTTGACATTTTTTTTCAGATTTCTTGGAACTTCTGGTCAGAACATCGATGACCTTGACAAGTACTCAGAGGCTGAAAGCCGACTTGATTTTGTCGAAAGAACGCTGAGGTGGAGACATCTTGCTCCCACTGCACCTAATACACTCGGTGAGTAATAACATTCCCCTCTGCAAAGTGTACTTTTAGTGTCCATTGGTTTGATTCACTTTTTTTTACAGGTTGTTATCCTTTCACTGATAGAGACCCTTTCTTGATTGAAACTTGCCCTCATGTCTACTTCGTTGGGAATCAAGACAAATATGACACTCGTTTGATAAAAGGTACAGATCACCTTATAGAAGAACGTGGTAGTTACTTTTAGTTTTGTAGGTCAAACAATGATCTAAGTTTTTTTTTTGTGTGATATCTTAATGTTGCAGGGTCAGAAGGCCAGCTGGTTCGGTTGATCTGCATTCCTAAGTTCTGTGAGACCGGTGTTGCTGTTGCGGTGAGTTGAAGTTTGAGGCAGAGATGGTCCCTCTTTGGACTACATTTTTACTTTCATATCTAAAAGTCAATCATGTTGTTGATTTGTTTTTGGCAGGTGAACCTAAGGAATCTGGAGTGTCATACTCGTAGCTTTAACATTCAGTTATAAAGTTAAGCACAACAATTAGTTGCTACTTTTGGTAAAATCTTGAATCTCCTAGTCCTAACAAACAGTTGTATTTTCTTGAGAAATACTTTTTTCAAATCTTTGGATGTGTTTTTGTATTATTTTCTTGAGAATTTCATACATTAATTTTTTAGTATTTACTATTTACAAAGCAAATGTTACAACATGTTTAATAATGCATAAATATATGGATGAAAAGAACATGAATATGTCCAAAGGTTAAACTCACATGGATGCATGTCCCCTGAGTATGAAGCTCACTTGAAAGAGTTTTTTTTTTTGCATGTTATCTCTTAAGTTTTTCGTATGTTTGACATAATTTTGATTGTTTTAATTCCCTAAAAAAACAATTTGATGTTTGCAAATGACATGACATATAATTATTGATTATCTATAATTCATGAAATTTGTTATTTAATATCCATATTATGCGAGAGAAATGAATTATACAGACAAAGAAGTCAAGTATATTGCCTCCCCTCCCCAAAACAATTTATTTCATCAGGCATAACACTAAGAAGAAGAAAGCAGAACAAATGATGGTCTAACGCTAATAAACTTAATTATTAGAAGCATTTTCTGTGAATAATCCAAGGTCCAATTTCGTCATACTCAGCCTTAGTCACCCACATCTGCATATTCGCATCACAACTTTACATTACACCAAAATAACATTAACTTAATTAAAAACCATATTATATATTATTATATCCTAATAATTTACCTCTTGAAAAGTGCTCAAAGAAGCCAAAATGGAGCCTCCAACCCAAGCACTGTTCACCCTTTCCGGAGGAGCCACAACTTTAAGCTTCATGCTATCAGGTACAAGCACAGCGAGCTCTTTGCTCATCCTGTCAGCAAAGCCAGGGAACATCGTTGAGCCACCACTCAACACAATGTCTCTAAACAAATCCTTCCTTATGTCAACATCACACTTCATGATTGAATTATAAGCCATCTCATGAATGCCACAAGTGTCCATGTGGACCAAGGAGGGCTGAAAAAGAACCTCAGCACACCTGAATCTCTCGGTTCCTAACCTGATCACTTGACCATCTGGAAGCTCGTAGTTTCTAGAGCTAGTATTAGCTTCCTCCATTTCTTGGTTGTGGTCGAGAGCTACGTAACCTAGTTTCTCTTTGATGTCTCTGACAATCTCATGCTTGGCGGTTGTCGTGTAGCCACGTTCAATCATGATCTTGGTGAGGTAGTTGGTTATGTCACGGCCTGCTAGGTCTAGACGCAATATCGCATGTGAGAGTGCGGAACCTTGGTAGATGGGAACTGCTTGGGTTACACCATCTCCTGATCCCACAGCAATACCTAGAACAAAAATCAGTAGGATAAGACCTCATGCACCAATCATTTCAATTAATTAAAATATTTTTAATCACATTTTCATAAATTAACTTGACGAAGACAAATTCTTGTTCGTTTGCGTTTATTTTATTTTTTCATTTTATCCTTTTTTCTAAAACATAAATGAAAAGCTGCCTTTACCTGTAGTACTACCACTGGCATAGAGAGATAGAACGGCTTGAAGGGCAACGTATAAATTAGGAACATTAAACCCCTCAAACATGATCTGAGTCATCATCTCTCGATTGGCCTTTGGGTTTAGAGGAGCTTCCGTGAGAAGCACAGGGTGTTCTTTAGGATCCACTCCTAACTCATTATAGAAAGTATGGTGCCAAATCATCTCCATGGCTTCCCAATTGTTAACGATACCACGCTCGATTGGGTATTCAAGTGTTAGAATACCTCTCTTAGTTTGAGCTTGGTCTCCCACATAGGACTGCTTCTGAGACATTCCAACAAGCTTCACTCCCGTGTCTCGTGGACGGCCAACGATGCTTGGAAACACAGCTCTTGGTGCATCGTCTCCAGCTAGTCCCGCCTTCAAAACATATTAATAATCATCAGACTATGCTATCTTTGGGTTTATTCTTGATTATTCCTTGTCTATATTTTCTAAATTCATACCTTGACCATTCCAGTTCCGTTGTCACACACGATAGTCATCACGTCAGTGTTATCTCCGCCAAAGCTGGTCCTGGTAGCAGCCAATTTACAAAGAGATCAGTTGACTAAAGATGGTTATGAAGTAGTTTTACATTTACAAACAGGCTCTTTTCCGTTCATAATTTTTTGTTTTTGTTTTGAAAAGACAATTTTCCCTTTACTCGTTAGTTTTACCAATTTTAAATTGTTTTACTCAGAAAGTGACATTTTTTTTATTTTTTTCTTTCTGATTAAACAAAAATATATATCATTTTCTGAGTAAAACAATGTAAAAATGGTAAAACTAACTACAGGAAAACTCAATATCCAATTTCTATTAACAATACAACTCAGAAACTAAGATCTATGAATGGGGTTGAAAAAAGTGCGAAAACCATCAAATTAAATTCCACTCGCCCAATGATGGAAGAACCCTTACTATTTCGTTGTAAACAATGGCTAATTAACATTGGTGCAAAAACATGTATAAACAGAAAGAGCAAAAGATATGTTTTTCTTTTTTGGATTAACCAGGGTAATCCGACGGTCGTGACCAACCGACTATTCCCCTGAGGCCTACGGCACTTCACGTATTCTTGCGATTTAACGTTAGTCTGGGTGGCCAGTGGTAGTCGAATCCGGGACCGTATCGAGGCCAAAACTCTCTCAAGTACCACTAGGCTAACCCCACTAGTTAGCAAAAGATATGTTGGTGACGAATTACGAGAAATTAAGGATCAAAGTGTAACCATAATTTTCTTACTTGCATAAAAGGGGCGTGTCTTGTTTGTTCTTCTCTTTGTCTCACCAACAAGATCGCGTTTGACAAAAATCGTACCGCTTTGTTAGAATGGTAAGCTTGAGTCCCACCCGCATAAGTCCTCAGCTCTTCCAAATAAGTGCAACAAAAAAGAAAGAAACCTTTTGACCCAAAAAAAACAAAGAAAGAAATCTAAATTGCCTAAAAAAAGAGAAAGAAATCTAACAAATTTTAATGACAACGATGTACCGGCCGGTCCTGGGCCCCCAAAATTTCAGGGCCGGCCCTAATGTACGTAGGTGCATCTTTTGGCTACATTAATTTTTTACTTCACGTGGACACGTTTCCAGTCTCTACTTTTAGCTTTTTTTTAAAGTGAAAACATTGATCATTTAACCCAAAATAAATTTATGCTATATGAATTGCATATATATTGTTTTAAATTACTTGACATGTGGAACCTGCAAAACAACTAAAACCATGTATTACATTTTTACCAAAAAAAAAAAAAAACTAAAACCATCTATAATTGATTTGTTTCCTAAATACTATTTTAAATTTATTAGTTTCCTGCATAAATACATAATTTTTTAAAAAAATCTATCTCTTGATTAATGATTTAAGACACAGTTATCATAATATAATACAGATCACGTATGTTATAGAAAAAAATTAAACAAAATGGGTAACCCAATTAAAAGTTCTAAGTAGAAATAAAACTTTTAAGTAGCAATAAGACTTACAGTATATTCTATTAAATAATCTATTTACGGTATATAATCTATTAGATATATCCATGGGCATGTTTTAATTTTTGGGTGTGTGAAAAGACATGTTCTAAATGTTGGAGAAGAGAAGCTATGATTTAAATAAACGATATTCTCTCTGTTTCAATTTATTTATTGTTGGTAAATAAAATTTTCGTTTCAAAATAAATGTTTTTTTTATAATTTCAATGTAAAATTTTTTAACTTTATATATTATTCTATTTTTAGTTGAAATGCGGTTATGTGTATAAATTTTTTATATTTTTTTTAGAAAATATGGAAAAATTAAATATTTTTTAATCAATGCGTAAAAATCAAAACAGTTACTAAATTGAAACAGAATGAATAACATTGCAATAACTATCACTAATTCATGATTGTAACGTAACAAACCAAACGAACTTTTGTTTTAAAATTCATAGAATGGTATTTAATTTGTTTTATGTAAAGAGTATAGATTTTTCATAGTATTTGATGAAAAATCATTTGCTGTATGATAAATAAGTAATTAAAATCTAATGATCTTCTATTATCAATGTTCTTACACCAACATAAACTCTTTTTTTTTTAACTGAAGGTTACCCAACCTAAACTTTATAGAAACAAAGAAATCAGATATATGAAATCCGTCAAAAAGCAACCAAAATAACGCTGATCCAACACACTACAACGAATCTCCATTTAGAAGCATTTGAGGTGAACTATCCTCGCTCCGCTTTCTTCATACTCACTTATGGACCTCACTTACTTTTTTCATATGTTTGACATGTTTTTGGCTTTGTTTTGTTGTCGATTTTTTTTTCTTTTAAATTTCGTTTAATAATGTATTGATAGAACTATCATAAGAATATTATTAAATTTTATTGAAAAAATCACTTTGATCTTTTTAAAATACTATAATTATTGATTCACTAAAATTTATTATAATCGCAATTTTAATATCCAAATTATGCAAGCGAAATTAATTATTTATGAAAAATTAACTTAATACAAACAAAGAAGTCAAATTGCTTCCCTCAAAACAATTTATTGCACTAGGCATAACACTAAGAAGAAAAAAGCATATCACCACAACAAATGATGATTTAAAGCTAATAAACTAAGGGTTTAATTAGTAGAAACATTTTCTGTGAATAATGCCTGGTCCGTTTTCGTCATACTCAGCCTTAGTCACCCACATCTGCATATTCGCATCACAACTTTACATTACACCAAAATCACATTAACTTAATTAAAAACCATATCATATATTAATATATCCTAATAATTTACCTGTTGAAAACTGTCTAAAGAAGCCAAAATGGAGCCTCCAATCCAAACACTGTTCGCCCTTTCAGGAGGAGCCACAACTTTAAGCTTCATGCTATCAGGTGCAAGCGCACCGATCTCTTTGAGCATCCTGTCAGCAAAGCCAGGGAACATCGTTGTGCCACCGCTCAACACAATGTCTCCAAACAAATCCTTCCTTGTGTCAATACCACACTTCATGATTGAATTATAAGCCATCTCATGAATACCACAAGTTTGCATCTCCACCAAGGAGGGCTGAAAAAGAACCTCAGCACACCTGAATCTCTCGGCTCCTAATGTGATCACTTGACCATCTGGAAGCTTGTAGGTTCTATCGATAACCGAGCTAGCATTAGCTTCCTCCATTTCTTGGCTGTGGTCAAGAGCTACGTAACCTAGTTTCTCTTTGATGTCTCTGACAATCTCACGCTCGGCGGTTGTCGTGTAGCCACGTTCATTCATGATCTTGGTGAGGTAGTTGGTGATGTCACGGCCTGCTAGGTCTAGACGCAAGATCGCCTCTGAGACTACGAAACCTTCGTAGATGGGAACTGCTTGGCTTACACCATCTCCTGATTCCACCACAATACCTAGAACAAAAATCAGTAGGATAAGACCTCACGCACCCAATCATTTCAATTATTTAAAAACTATTTTTAATCGATATCACATTTACATAAATTAACTTGACGAGGACAAACTCTTGTTCGTTTGCGTTTATTTTTATTTTTTCAACTAGGAAAAGTTTACACCAAATCCTAATTTTTAGTTTGGGACCAGCAGTTAATATGGCGTAAAATATCCTTTGAACTAAAATCAAATCAGAAGAACAATGAAATCAATTCTTTATGCTAAACCACTATCTAATAAATACACCATTGCTATTTGTGTTTGTGTTCAACTATTCTTTGGATTTATCACGCAAAAACATATAGAATACATTTGCCTAAAGAATAACACTCTATAGTATTAAATAAATACTAACCAAATTTTAGTTCTCTTAACATATTCTTAAGTGTGGTTGACGGGAAAACTAACATACTCTTTTTAATTAAAAATTTTAAAATTTTATTTTTATCCTTTTTTTAAACATAAATGAAAAGCTGCCTTTACCTGTAGTACGACCACTGGCATAGAGAGAGAGAACGGCTTGAAGGGCAACGTATAATTTAGGAACGTTAAAGATCTCAAACATGATCTGAGTCATCTTCTCCCGATTAGCCTTTGGGTTTAGAGGAGCATCAGTGAGAAGCACAGGATGTTCTTCAGGCGCCACACGTAGCTCATTGTAGAAAGTATGGTGCCAAATCATCTCCATGGCATCCCAATTGTTAATGATACCACGATCGATTGGGTATTCAAGTGTTAGAGTATCTCTCATGGCGTAAGCTTCTTTTCCCACATAGGACTGCTTCTGAGACATTCCAAGCATCCCTCCCATGTCTCGTGGACTGCCAACGATGCTTGGAAACACAGCTCTTGGTGCATCGTCTCCAGCTAGTCCCGCCTTCAAAACATATTACCAATAATCAAAATATGCTATCTTATTTTTCCTAAATTCATATAGATTTGTTAATGTCAAGGTTTATTGGTTTCATCTAAAATCAGTTAGTAATATGTGAATTGATTCAAGTTTCTTATATGTTAGGGATAGTATCTAAGAATTTCGGATGTGGAATCCTAACATTTAATTATAAACATAAAGGGGTAAACACAAGATTTTACTTTTGTTTACGTTCACTTTGCAAAAAAAAAAACTGAAAATATTTACTTTTTAAAAGAGATTTTGTTCATTGCGTAGTAAAAAAGAGTGTTTTTGTCTCCTTACCTTGACCATTCCAGTTCCGTTGTCACACACGATAGGCAACATGTCAGTGTCATCTCCGCCAATGTTGGTCCTGGTAGCAGTAGCAAGCTGGTTCTGGTAGCATGCAGTAGCAATATTGTTAGGTTATTCATATTTAAAAACAAAAAACAAATATCACTCTTTCTAAATAAAAGCCTAATGTAAAAAAAAATATCACTTTCTGAGTAAAACAATGTACAAATAGTAAAAGGAACGAGTAAAAAAACTCAATATCCAATTCTATTAACAATAAAACTCAGTAACAGATCTATGAATGGAGTGGAGAGCTAAAACTATCAAATTCTACTCGCCCGATGATGGAAGAACCCTTTACTATTTCACTGAAAACAATGGCTAATTAACATTGGTGCAAAAACCAAGTACAAACAGAAAGACCAAAAGATATGTAGGTGACGAATTACGAGAAATTAAGGATCAAAGTGTAACCATCATTTTCTTACTTGCATCTCTGACGGGGTTGTGTTCTTGTTTGTTCTTCTCTCTGTCTCACCAACAAGATCGAGTTTGACAAGAATCGTACCGCTTTGTTACGTTTATATAGTGGCGTGGAATGATAAGCTTGAGTCTCACACGCATAAATCCTCTTCCAAAATAAATGCAACAAAAAAGAAAGAAATCTAAATTGAATGAAATCTAACAAAATATAATACATATCACGAATGATATAGAAACAAATTAAATAAAATTGGTAACCCAATCAAAAATTCTAACTGGCAACAAAACTTACAGTTGTGGATATGTTCAAATAAATCATCTATTTATAGTATATAATCTATTAGATATATCCATGAGCATGTTCTAAATGTTGGAGAAGAGAAGTAATGATTTAAATAAATAATAGCTATAGGCTATAGTGTTGCAATAACTATCACGAATTCATGATTGTAACAAACCAAACGAACTTGTGTTTATAATGGTTTTTAATTTGTCTTAGGGACCCTTTGTTTTATGTGAAGAGTAAAGATGATCGTTCATAGTATTTGATGAAAAATCATTTGAATAAATAATTAAAGCATAATCTAATGATCTTCTTTTATCAATGTTCTTACACCAACATAAACTTTGTGTAAATAATTAAAGCATAAGCTAATGCATCCCAATTAAATATTTGGAAAAAAAAATCTATGTGCATTTTCTATTGAAAATTAGTTTATACCTCAGTCCGAGATATCTCCAGATTAAAAACCATATATCCATATTATGCAAGAGATCTGAATTACTCATAAAAATTTAACTTAATACAAACAAAATGGTCAATTATATTTTCCCTTAAAACAATTAATTTCATTTGGCATAACACTAAGAAGAAAAAAACATATCACCAGAACAAATGATAATTTAAGTTAGAACAATTAATTTCATCAGGCATAAATAACACTAGGGATTTAATATTTTTTTAAAGAACCTATATCTATATAATTTTTTTCAAAATTTTCGGAGATCTAGAATAAATGTTTTAACAGTCTCAAAACGACCTTAGTAGTACAACACATCTTTGGTATTTGCGTTCATTTTCATTGAAATGTCTGGATTTATGAGGCAAAAACATATACAAAATTTACATGATAAATCGAAACACTAAAAATATGTAATCTTCTGAAAACGTTAAGTTACAAAATTTGGTAAATATATATAAAATTTATCTAATCATTAAAAAATCCAACGCAGGTTGATATCTTTATTATTATTTGTTTTTTTTGTCATGAATTTAATACATTCTACTTTCCAAGTGGTTTCACTCATTTTACGGTGATAGTTAACTTTTGGGTTAATTGTGAGACAGAGAAAATAAACAGTAAAAATTGTTTCAAAAAAGAAAAAAAACAGTAAAAAAAAAGGTGAATGTAATTTCCTTCCTCCGGTAAAAAAAAAAATGCTTATTGCAGTATATGCCCTTTTATTGCGAGTCGACACACTGAGTCAAAGACCGAGTCACCTTTTTTAGTTTTCTTCTTCCTTTGGCCAAAACACCGAAGAAAGACGCAAACTTTCTTACCTCCCAGAGATGAACGCCGCCATTAGAGCTGCGATTCACAGAACACATAGCGTATCTTCTCACCTGAAAGCATCGTTTTTCCACTCCACTCCCGTCTTGGAACGCAAACGTCGCACTTCCTGGGATTCGGTTTAGTCTCCTTTTAAAATTTTGATTTTGTGTCTGACCCACAAGATAAAGTTTCGAGCTTTGGGGGTTTATGTACATATAGATCGATGCCAATGTTCTTTTTAGCTTTTATTAGATTGAAAGTCTGGTACTTTGAGATGTTTTACTTTGTCTGAATCCCGACCATTTTTTTTACTTGTGTTAATGTTAGAACATGTGGTGATCTAATTATGTTCTGATTTTTTTTTTTACGTTTTATTTAATTTTATCTGTAGAAATCAAATGTTCACAGGAAGAGGTTCAGAAGAATGAGAGAGAAGCAAGAGTTGTTGCGAAATGTGAATGCTTTTGCAGCAAACATGTTTACGGTATATTATGAACTAATAATCTGTCTAATGCTATATCATGTGTTGCTGTTCGGTTTGTTGGTCTCATATGTTGTTTTTGTATGCATTTGGTTCTCACAAAACACACATAACAGAACCACATTGTGTGATCATCTTAAGTAACGTTTTAGCTATAGTCCATAGCGAAACACATAGTGTATTGTCTTGTTATAGTGTTTCTTACTGCCTTTGTTTATGCCAATTTGGGATTTTTCCATTGTAAAGCTCTCTCTCAGCGGTTAACGTTTTGATTCCAGAGCTGGCATGATGAGTTTCATGACAATGAGCCTTCCTCACAGAAGCGAACCTCGTGGTTTAAAAAACAGTACGCCAAGGAACCTAAAGGAAAATGGAATGGCAAACAGGGCTCTCAGAGTTGGGGTCCAAGTAAGTGAATGTCTTTAATCTCTGCTTATGTAGGAAAATCTTTTAAGCATGTAGCTTGTTCACTGCTTCTACAGTGAAGATTCAGGTCCATCTTTAAAGTATAAATTCTTAGTCATCAATGTTAATGGTAGAGAATCTAAGTAAAAGAGAGTCCAGTGACTTTTTTAATGTGTTGCATTCAAGCTTGTGTAGTTTCATTTTGCTACAAGCTAGTCATATTAAAGCAATTTATTCGCATTGTGTAGGGAACTTTGATTTTTGTGAAGTTGATGAGGACTTTGACATTGATTATATATTCCCTGGTGGATCACCACGAGGTTTTTCTTTTTCATACACCTATGAAGATGATGAACCTCCTCGATGGCATAGGGACCACTCATCATCAAGGTTTTCCAACAATAACTCTAATAAGAGGTCTTGGAGATCGAAACATCATCGCATGTATGAAGATGAAGAAGATGACTATACTTCAACAGACTCTGAGAGTTAGTCAGAGTCAGAGCCAAACCAAGCTTCTCATAGACAAGCACTTGGCCTGAGTCCTTCGGGTCCATTAAACCTCAAAGACGTCAAACATGCGTGAGTACTTCACTTCAATCATGTCAACACACATTCATCTTCTCATCACTTTATATTAAACTCATTTATTTTTTGTATGTATCAGTTATCGAGTTTGTGCATTAAAATGGCATCCAGATCGTCATCAAGGCTCTACAAAGGTAAGCCTATTAAATCTCCTTCTATTAAAATCTTTATTCTCCTATGTGTGTTGTTTTGAATCTGTGTGATATGTATTGAAACAGGAAGCGGCTGAAGCAAAGTTTAAACTATGCAGTGTGGCTTATCAATCTCTATGCGACAAGCTGTCATTGAACTAAAGATTAAAAGAGCTTAGATAGTGTTTGATTATCTTCTTAACAATAATATTTTCAAGTTGGTTCATTTAAAAGCTTATCTCAGAGCAAAAGCTCTACTACAAAGTTACGAGTATTTTGTACAAGTTAGAACTCTGTTTTTTTTCTGGCTTTGCCTTGTTTGTCGTCTTTCAACTCGGTTTCAGAGCCTAATTACGGCCCATTGGCCCAATTACACTGGCCCAACATGTTGATTATCATTTATGGAAAGTTCTTGGTCATCAAGCAAAAACTTTTTCAGTAAACATTCTATTCTCTGTTTTGCTCTTACCTAAAAGACAAAATGGAAAATACACTATTTTTTTTTCTTTCTTCTCGCTGAGAAAAACTCTTTATTGAGTCGAACATAATTCGATCAAGACGCAATGTTGTGTACTAGTCTTTGAGAGAGAGAGAGATGAACGCTGTTACTAAAACAGCGACTTTTAGACAGCAAAGCTATTTTTCTCGACTGAAAACTGCGTTTTTTCATTCTACTCCCGTCTTGGAACGCAAACGTGGTTCTTCTTCTTCTTCTTCTTCTTCTAGTTCCGTGGGTATATCTAAATTAATTGATATTTTAACAATTTCTTTTAGAGTTTGAGAAACAAAAAAAAAGATGTGTCTTCTTTAGGTTTTAGATAGATTTTTAATTAGTGAAATATACAGCTTCTGATTATTATTTTGTGTAGCAGAAATCAAATGCTAAGAAGAACAAAAGATCAAAGAAATTTTTGAGGGAGCATCAAGAAAAAGTACGGCGTGCTGTGGAAGAACTTAAACGTGAAAGAGAAGAGGTATAATGAGACTTATTAAACTTATCAAACATACAAATAAAAAAACCACTTATATGCTCTCTAGTCATCAAATTAACGCTTTAGCTTTAGTGTGATGTCTCTTGTTCATGACTTGAGTGTAACTTAACGCTAGCTCTTGGTGTAATTAAACATTAGGCAGCCGCGAAAAAGGCCAAAGAAGCTAAAGAAAAGCTGAATAATAACTGCAAACAAGAGTCCAAGAGTACACGTAAAAGTAAGTGCTTAACCCTTTTGAAGGTGCATTTTGTCTTCTTTTTTTTTTACACAATAGTGTTATTAAGAAACATGTGTTTCATTTTTGAAGGTCAATTTGGTTACGAGGATAAAGACTTTGATATTATATTCCGATCTTTGTTTGGCGTACCACGAGGTTTTGACTATTCAATCTATGAAGAGGAGGATCGTCGTTGGTGGTATCACCCTTCATGGTTTTCTGGTTTCTCTAGGAACTCTTGGAGATCAAAATATAAATTTTATGACAAAGAAGAAGAGCAAGAAGATGAAAAAGTAGAAGAAGAAGAAGAAAGCTACAGTTCTAGTAACTGGTGGAGATCAGAATCACGATTTGATGAAAAGGAAAAACAAGAAGAAGGCTATGGTAAATCAAAGTCCAGTGAAACAGTACTGTCTGACCCAATAGAAGCTACTCATAGAGACACACTTGGAATGAGTCCTTGGGGTCCCTTAAAACTTGAAGATGTCAAACATGCGTGAGTTTATTTATTAATCTACTCCTCATGATCATGTGTTTTAACTTCTTGCTTCTCTTTTTTCTTGGATTAGATATCGAACTTGTGCATTAAAATGGCATCCAGATCGTCATAATGACTCTACCAAGGTACGTAAAAAACAAGAATAAGAATCTTCTTCTCCTCTCTCATTTTTTCAATCTTCATTGTAAGTGTTTTCTTTGTGTTAATTCTTGCATATATTAACAGGCGGAGGCTGAAGCAAAGTTCAAGCTATGCATTGTAGCTTATGAATCTTTAATCCAAAAGCTACAGTCAGCTAAGATTACTTGAACGCAAAAGAGGTAGACTAATTAAAAGTTATATATGTTTTCATCATTACTTAAGAGAGATTTTATTTTTAACAAAAAATGTTCTGATTAAAAGAAAAAAAAAAAAGTTCTGATTAGGAGTTTATGACATTGAGCAACCAATATACTACATGATCCAAGCACTGCTATGTATTGTCCTCAATATTAAATCGAAATAATGGTTTATCTCTAAGTTTGCATCAAGTGTATCCCTTACTTCTGCGCCTTAACTTCACTGCTTGTGCTGGTTTGTCCAAGCAAACTATTTATCGAACGGTAGCTGGCTGGGTTTTAACAAGTTCTTAAATAACAGATTTTTCTTATTACTGAAACCGGAGTACTAATCGGATCACCGGATTTACCAGTTCAAAGTCGAATTTAAAAACATTGCTACCAGTTGTGATGGGTATCTCAACTTTTTTTTTTGCACACGTGTATCTCAACTCTAACTCTGCTTTTAACTTGGCTCGATATGTCTTTGAACTCGAAGTCCAACGGCCCAAACACGTTGATAATCATTAATGGTAAGCCCTTGGTGATCAAGCAAAAAAAAACCTTTGAGAAAACATTACATTCTCTGTTTTTTTTTACCCTAAAATAAAAATACACTCTCTTTTTTTCTTCTCCCTTAGAAAAACTCTTATTATTGAGTCGAACATAATTCGATCAAGACGCAGTGTTGTGTACTAGTCTTTGAGAGAGAGAGAGATGAACGTTGCCACTAAAGCACAGATTTTCAGACCGCAAAACTATTTTTGCCTCCTGAAAACTGCGTTTTTCCATTCTACTCCCGTCTTGGAACGCAAACGTGGTTCCTCAACCTCTAGTTCCGTGGGTATATCTAGATTAATCGATATTGTATCGATAGTAAAGAACTGTGTTTCTTTTAATTTAGAAAAAGACTGTTGATTAATTTTTGTGTTTTGAAATTTCTGGCAGAAATCAAATGCTAAGAAGAACAAGAGATCAAAGAAGTTTTTGTGGGGGCATCAAGAAAAAGTAAACGTTTTTGTGATTAGTTGATATGCATCTCAAAAAAAGAACTGTGTTTTTCTTTAGGGTTCTAGATATAGTGTTTAAGTACGGTTTAAATTTTTTTGGGCAGAAATTAAATGTTAAGAAGTTTTTGTGGGAGAATCAAGAAAAAGTACAGCGTGCTGTGGAACAACTTAGACGTAAAAGAGAAGAGGTACATGAGACTTCTTATTAAACATAATTATCAAACACACAAACAAAACGTTTAAGCTCTAAGTGTAGTGTAATAATGTCTCTTGCTCATGAGTTAAAAGTGTATATCTTAATCGCTCTTTGTGTAAATTAAACATTAGGCCGCTGCTAAAAAGGCCAAAGAAGCCGAAGAAAACCTGAATAACTGCACACGTGAAAGTAAGTGTTTGTTTATCCCTTTTAAAAAATGTCACAAGTTGTAACATTGGTGCAATAATATTTTTTGATACAAAATTCGTATTAAGATAACATGTGTTACATTTTTGAAGGTCAATTTGGTTACGAGGATAAAGACTTTGATGATCTATTCCGATCTATATTTTGTAAACCAGGAGATTTCAATTATAGAATCTATCAAGAATGGGATCGTCGTTGGTGGTATCATCCTTCTTGGTATTCTGGATTCTGCATGAACTCGTGGATATCAACACGTCAACATTATAACAACGAAGAAGCTGTAAGAGAAGAAGAAGAAGAAGAAGAGGAAGAATTGTTATCCGATAATGAAGAACTATATGGATATGATCAAGATCCAGAACCATACGAAGATGATGATGAAGAAGAAAGCTACAGTTCTAGTAACTATACGAACGGGTGGGGATCGGAAGAAGAATATGGCTATGATCCAATAGAAGCTTCTCATAGAGAAACACTTGGTCTGAGTACTTGGGCTCCCTTAAAACTTGAAGATGTCAAACATGCGTAAGTTTGTTTATTAATTATACTTTATCATTGATATAACATATGCATATTCATCTATTACGCTTCATGATCATCATGTTTAACTTCTTGCTTCGTTTTGTTTTTGGGATTAGATATCGAACTTGTGCATTGAAATGGCATCCTGATCTTCATGATGACTCTACCAAGGTACGTAAAAAACCAACAAGAATCTTCTCTCTTTTCTCAATATTTATAATAAGTGTTTTTATATATCTTTGTGTTATAAACAGGCTGAGGCTGAAGCTAAGTTCAAGTTCTGCAATGTGGCTTATGAATACTTAATCAAAAAGCTACAGTAAACTAAGACACAGAGGAGGATTGAATTAATTAAAAGTTATATATGTTTTCATCATAACTTAGAGATTTTTTATAACAAAAAAATGTTTTGATTATGAGTTTATGCCCTTGAGAAAACCAATATATTGTTGAAACTGAAATATCCACCAAATTAATATCTATACATAGAATGATCAAATAGCAAACGCCATTAAGGTCTCTGATCAAATCTACACACAAAATGTTCACAATTCACACACCCGATACATAGAGCTAGTCATCATGTACCTAAACATATACATATCTGATTCGAGAGACTTACTTATCATAATCAGGAAACTGATCAGCAGGTGCACTTATCTCACTCTCAGTAGCAGCAGCAGCAACAACAACATCAGTAACTCCACTGCTTGTGCTGGTTTGTCCAAGCAAACTACTTATGGAACGCGCCTTTACCATTCCAAGCTTGACCCTCTGCTTCTTCTTCTTCACTGCCTTCTTCTGGCCTCCGCCACGACCGCCAGAACTCTTGTTCATGCTTCTTACCCTTCCTTTACCAAGATGATGCTCACAAAGAGAGTAACCATAAAGAGTTTGCTGACAACATCTCCATCCTCTACCGTTAACGCGGCTGCACCTTGATCCTTCCTCTAACACATTACTGCTCTTTCTCCCTTTCTTCTTCTTCTTCTTCCCTTTATTAGCTTCTTCTTCTTCTTCTTCCTCATCCTCTTCTTCTTGTTCCTCGAAGCTAGTATAGCTTCTTCTCTTCCTCAATGTAACAACGTTTTCACTCTTCTCGACAGCTAATTATATACAAACATACAAATGGTGAATGGTGCAACCAAAAAAAACATTTAATTTCACCAAAAACATAGCTCTATTATATGTACCTTGTGTTGAAGAGTCTGATTCTTCTTGGGAATCAACGTTCTTGCTGCCATAGTTTGAAGCAAGAAAGACTTAATATGAGTGCAATAAAGAATGAATAATAGAGCACACAATGCTAACATGCACCGTCATGAGGTGTGCAAAATGTTCAAAGGTGTGACAAGAATGACGACAGTCACGGTACTATTAAAACCATAATACGAAAAATGAATCTAACAACTTTTGGATTATTTTAGATCCAATCTCTTATCATTGCATCTGCAAAACGTTATTGCCAATGTTTAAAGACCATGAAAGTTTTAATTTTTGATCAATGTATAAGTGTTGAGTGTTTTGAAAAGCTTTGATCTTTTACAATCCAAAATAACTTTGTAATCTACTAACTAATTATTTGTTACACTAGAAAGTTATAACATGGAAGTGTAGAAGTAGAAAAATACAGTTGTAGAATTCACTTACCTGCCCGATGCAACTGTACAGCTCTTCACGTCTACATCATCTCCATTATCCTTTTCGAAATAACAAAAGAGCAATTGAACATTAAGATTTTGCAAATGAAAGAACAATTATTCTCTCAAGTGTAAAAACCAATTATAAAAAAAAAAAACAAAGCACAAACTGCACCACAAGAATCAAATTATTTTTTATCGGTCAATTATTATAAATAAAAAACTAGAATTGTCTCTCTACTTTGAACTAACCAAAGCTTTCTCATCTCTTTGAATCAGCGGTGGTGTCGGAAACTGAAGAAGAGAAACAGAACCACCTGGGGTTAGGTCTTGGCCGTAAAAGTAACGAGCGGCGGCAGAGGGAGAGCGGTTAGAGTAGAGATCTGAGAGAGGAACAGGGAAGAGAGACGAAAGAGGAAGAGGCACTTGTCGTTTCCTGATCCTCATCGTATCAAGAAAAAAATAAAAAAGATTCTGACTTGTTTTTTTGCACCAAAGAAGTGCTCTCTCTAGTGTATAAGCCCAAATATAAAGAGAAGGAACAAAGAGGAAATTTTTTGTTTTTTTCTTACACGGACTTGGAAATAAAAGATTTTTTTTTTGTTAAAAAAGGAGAAGGCTTTGTGGTGTTGTGTTGTTCTTGGTATTGGTAATACAGCCTCTTCTCTCTCTCTCACTTTTTTATTGTTGTTGCACCCGAAAAGCAAGTTAATAGTAATTGAGAGATGAAGAGTCCACGTATATACAACCAACTCTTTATATCGTCATATAGGCCTGGGCGTTCGGGTACCCGTTGGCGTTCGGATCGGGTTTTTTGGATTTTCGGATTTTCGGGTTTACGCTCATAGGTCCCATTCTAATATTTTACTAGTACGAGTCGGGTTCAGATAATAACACTTCGGGTTCGGTCAAATTTGTATTGCAACATAAAACCCGTAAAGTAACCATATATCGTTCGGATTCGGGTTATTTCGGTTCGGTTCGGATATACCCAAAGTATAAAACAAAATTTCGAAACAAAAACATAAAGAAAAACACTGAAACTGAATATAAATTAATCATACATACATAAAATTGATAAGAATAAAAAAATGCTAAATCAGTCATTAAAACATATATCACTTGTAAACAATGTGCATTACCTTACTTATAAACTAATTTATTATTTGATGAACAAATTACAAAATACTTATTTATAACTAATTGTATATTTAAGGTATTTATTTATATTTTAATATTTATGTATGTATCATATCAAAATAAACATTAAAATGAATATCTAAAATATTTATATATATATATATTTAAGATATTTATATTAACTATTAATTTT